ATATACGGTCTAAGGCATGGCAAAGTCGTGTAAACATAATATTTATAATCAATTATACAATAGATAAACAAGATAATACGCTACCTTAAATCTTACTTGTAATGCACTGAGAAATTGCCATTATAACTTAATAGTTTCTGCATAATACTCGTAGGTACTTTAGTAGTTTAATAAAAGGAACAGTTTCAAACAAATTGAACAACAATAAATCATCATCAACAGCCTTAAAAGCCCACTGCTAAGCAAAGCCTCTTCTCACACGGAGAAGGTTTGAGGATCAATCACCACGCTCAATGCGGGTTGGCGATTACAAACTTATAATTAGAAATTATAAGCTCAGGTTTCCTCACGATGTTTTCCTTCACCGTTTGTCAGTGGTGTCTAGATAATCTTAGAAATTACATATAACTCGGAAGATTTCACGTTGGTACTTGCCGATGGTAGGTTTCTAACCCGTACCCTCATGCACGAGAAGCGGGCGTCTTAAACCTCCGGGCCACCACGACTATTTAAACAACAATAAATGTCAATAAGTTTTTATTATAATTTATGGCTTTTTATTCAATACTGGGAAATTGTGGAAGCGAAATATTTGTAGTATTTTGAAACTATCGGGTAAGCTCAGTTACGTGACCTAGTTTAGACATAATGGGGTTGTTAAACCTGGAACGCTAATTAGAATTTATAATATCTTAGCAGTTTCCTGCATGTTTTTGTGTTACTGCGTTTTCTGTTATTGTAATTTAAGTCTAGTACTCGAATGAGCAAGCTTTGCTTGGTGTTTTTTTAATGAACGATATTTTCTGAAAATTAAACCTAGCTAGATCGATTTATCGCCCTTGAAACCCCATAGATGCTCAATTACAAGAAATTCATTGGAGCAGTGTCCGAGATCGTTAAGAACTGCTCATATAAATGTATTCTATAATTCGGAGTCACGGAGAACCTAACGGGTTACCGGGCTCCGGCTCGAAGTGCAGGACTAGGAACGGGGTGGTTTTTAGTCAGTAAGAGTCTGATACTCCCTCCCGCCTCACCTAGGTGGGAGAAGTCATTCGATGATTTTCCCCCTTAAAAAAAGGTATTCTATAATAGAAAAGGTATCTCGAGGTAGGATTTTTAGGTTAAACAATAATTATTCAAAAAAATACGTAGAAATAAAAAACTAAAGCCCGTTTTCACCTATCTCTCCTAAATTTTAAGGAACCCCTATGCTAAGATAGTTTAATGACATTTGGTTTTTACCAACGTATAAGTAGCACCTAACATTACAAGTAAGGGTGTTTAGGTGCTGCACCACGTTAAAAAAATTTTAGTTTAAAGAAAACAATCATCACAAACCAATTAATCTGTACATTGTAATAAAACTGTACAAGTGTAAATACTGTACATTAAAAATATTAGAAAAATAAATAGTAGTGGGTATTATCAGATATATACCGAACTCAATTATGCGATTAAAAAATTGTTTGTCTGTCTGTCTGTCTATACGGCTGTCTGTAAGTTAATGCATAACGCAAAAACTACCAGTCTGATTACGATGAAACTTGGCATGATTTAAACTTTAATATTCGAGTGATCAATACTGGCTACAAAAAAGTATATACACGATAAACATATATTTTCTAAGATGGCGCATAAATGGCATCTCCGGTAATACTTACGTAGGTACAGTCATAGTAGCCTCGTAAGTGATCGAAACTTGGCCACGGTTAATAACTTGACCGAAATTCAATTTGTTTGAAAGCAAATCCGTGTTGCCATTTAAATAATTCATTAATACCGTCCTCTGTTTACCTGCGACAAATATTTTTAGACAAGAATAATGATATTGGGCTTGATTAAAAGTACACTCAGACTGATTATATTAATGAATGTATTGTTTATGAGCCAATTTCGATAATAGCATACGAATATTGTTACTTAATCCTTGTATAATAATGTAATAATAATACGTATTCATACTCGTTGTGATAATTGGTAATAGAAGTAGTTTTTTGTGCGCGGGATGGAGAAATATTTAGACAGACTCTTCTCCTTTTAATGATAATTGGAAAGATTGATAAATAAATCCATTTTTGGATACAAGTTCAGATTCTGGGTTTTATTATTAGTCTTTAAAATCGGACACCTTTATACATTTGTCAAGAATCATACAAGTGGTGTTTCGTGGTGGTATACGAGTATTTTTAATTACCATTAACGATATTTTTACCTTCTATCCACAATTCACAGAAAACAATCAATCAACTGACCCTAAAATTAATCAAAGAATACAATATTTCGATCGCTTTAATCCCAACCCACACAATTAACCTTTACTCAGAAAACAACAAAAACCGAACTAATATATAAGTGTGCGATACCCGATCAATTGTGAGAATTAGACAGCGGCCCCACAAACAAATCGTAGACATTTTGCCTTAGCGTAGGTAGAACGGTAGAACTAGTGTATTGTATAGAGCAGTGGTTCCCAAATGATGGTCTGTAGAAGGCAAACTTTGGTCCGTGAAAAGTAAAAGTAAACAGGACAGCCAAAAAAAAACCATGGCTAATGCTTGAATTAAACTTATCCTTTCAGGATGTAACTCAACTGATTTTAATGAAAAAAGTTACTATTTTTATAAAATTGAACAAATAAGTAAAAGCTTTACTCCTTGACCAAGAAAAGGTTGAAAACCCCTGGTATAGAGCAACATAATATATTTTTCCGTTGGACCCCGATTGGGGTCGGCCGATATAGACCGCGGTTCGGTTAGTCTACTGCAACTGACACGCAACTGTATATTGGTAACCTTCTGCTAAGTTTAGCACAACGGGACATTAGGCTCAGACTAATGTGTGGTCGGATAAATCATCTTGAATGTTAGGGCAAAACAGTTTTGTATTTGGTTTGGATTTCATTAGAAATTCAACGTGGGATAATAATGATTGTAGCCTATACGACGTGCACGTATTCGTAAATAATTATATTTGATACGTTAAGTTAAAAATTCACGTAATCATTCGCGTATTTTACTAAGTCTATAATCATGATATCTGTATGGTACTAAGACAGTAATAACTTCCTGTAAAATTTTATGGATGGTATTATAAATAAAAGATGTCACCATAAATATTATTACGTCTACGTTCATTAGTACGTCTCATTAAAAAGTATAGAATGGATAAAGTTTTCTCAATCAATAGTTTCAATTTATGCAGTAAAGTAATGCAAGCTTCCCTAAAAGGATCACATTGCTATAGAAACTATCGCAGACAAAGTTCCAATATCGGAAAAGAAACAATTTCTTGCCAGATAAGGCATTATGTGTAGCCAACCATGCTTCGATGGTTAGTATCGAGAATTCATGTGTTTCGACTCGCCATGGGAATTCCTTTTACGTGCAGAGGTATTTTTGTTATTTCAATTTTTCGTAGTGTAGTGTATGTAGCTATTTCTGTTTTTTCTCACAAGAAGGATGTGTTCAGAAATACCTAACCCTATCGTTGAACCGTCAAGGTCGCGGACATTTCCACTAATTCCTGTCATACACATCGCTAAGCTTCGCTCTACCGAAGGTCAAATTGGAATCCTAAATCCCTGAATATTTCACAAGACCAACCCTAACGCAATCCACGCGCAAAAACAAAAACAATTTAACGTCAATCTGATTTCGGGACCCTAAAATCAAAACAGGAATCTGTCGCCCAGTAAATAGACGTCACAAATTTTACTCTAGGGACAGCCAATTACTGGGAGATTGGGACTGACCTACTGTGACTTAATCGTTTTCGTCTTCACATTCCAACGGCGTCAATGGAACTTAATTTACTCGTAGGGATTGTCCCTAATTTCCATTTTAGTGTTGGGACAACCCTAATGCAAGTTCGTAGCCAAACGTTTGAGATAAGTCCTCACTCGGGGGAAATTGTACCTAAGTCGGTGAACGTATCAAAAATTGCTATCGTACCTCGGTGACATCGTTGAAATTGGGAAATAAGATCATGCTACACTTTTGTGGCGTTCGACGTGGATTTTAAATTGTAAAACATTGTCAATGCATGTATGTATGTACTTGACGTGAACCGATTTAGGGAAAATGTTAGCTCATTTATTCTCTGGGAATATTATATTTTCTGTAGAACTACAATCTTATCTAATGTGATTGAGTAGCTGTAGAATATTTTAAGGCTAAATTGATCTAAGATTGAGGTATATGACTGTTGACTGACTAAAACGTTACAATTTTATTTGGTAAATACCAAGACCATTCATAATTCCCACACAACAAATGACTACCTAAACTTAAATTGGATAAAACTAAGAAACTGGTTTTCTTTAATCCAATTTTAAAATGACGAAAATAACAGCGTTCTAGAAGCTTTTCATTTTGTAAGAACGCAACTATACCGGCTGCAGGCGCGATGCAAATCAGTTGGGTGATAAGGCAGTTAATTTGAATTTATAATGACCTCAATGAATTCACCATTCTGCACTAAGAAACTACCTAGGAAGTTACTTTAATATTCTAATTAGTGTGTTGTGTGGAGGTATATAACTTTCATCCGTACTTTTCATTAAAGTAATGATTCACATTTTTTTAAAGTAATAATTAATCGTAACTACTTAATATATTGGTACGACATGGATAGAAGAATAGACAGATGGATAGACGAGTTAGTATTAGCATGACGTTTATCTCGTTGATCGTCAGGCACGCATGTCCATGACTTTGGGCCCCACTATAGCTTGAAAGCTTTATTAACTGTTGATTTGTAATCGACAAACACTAAATACACTGTATTTTTAGACGTGATTTAACAGAGACCTATAATAAAGTTAAAATACGTGCTTAGTCCTATCTTGTCGAAATTTTTTACTCATACTCCAAGAGTAACCTTGGCAGTTTTGAACGTTTATGCTAGAGTAATATCTTTATTATTTATTTCATTAACAGGTACATGATATAAAGTCTTAACGTTCAGTTTGGGATATAAATACACTTTCTTATACTGACCTAGTCTTAAACTGCAGGACAGGAGCAGTATAGCAAGCCATGACGTCACCAAATACCGCACCATCGCCCAAACGTTCCTTATCACATCACTTAAACCATCACTTGAATCCTATGTTATCACTCATAAGCACTATTTTATCACAATTTTATTTCTATGAACATTTTCAATGTACTCTCACGTTTACTGGATTATTATTGTCATCGCGAAATCTGAAAACAAAGAAAAATAATTATTAGTATTGTAAATTAACAGTAGTTTCATAGAAAAGAATGATTATAATATTAGATTAAATGAAAATGCTTTACTTTTGCATAGTCTCTACAAAACTACTTTTTAGATTAAAGAGTAACGCAAAATAAACAAGAAAACAGAATATTTGGAATTTTTGAAGTATAATTATGCAGAATTATGCAAAAATAAAGAAACCAAACAATTTTAACTGAACAATATTGATCCATTACAACGAAGAATTTGGTAAGCAAATGCTATGAAAAGAAATGCAACCATGCCTGGTTGTAAATACATGAAACAATTCCAAAGCAGACACATGAATGACAGGAACATAACCTAAAAACTAAAGATAGAAAACATTAAAAGAAAGATTCGTCCATGAAGGGGTACATAGCATATCGTTTGAAAATCAACCTTCGAGCAAGCTAAGTGTAAGTTGAATTTCGCATGTGGAAATTCGTAGGCAACAGTTTGGTAGTAAAAAGTATAAACGAGGAAATGTTGGCCGCGTTAAAAATGGCGTCATGATTCTAAAAATAAATTCTTACAACATATGTTTAGGGTTTGGTTAACAAAATTTCTTTTGAGTTACAAAGTATACATAGAAAAAGTAAAAGAAACTTTCCAAAACAAAAAATGTTTATCGATCTTATTTTATTTCAAAAACCCATGACGTTGTTTCGTAAGCATAAGCACAACCTTCAGCCTTAGCTGATAACCTCTTATTACGATCTTTCGTAGAGTTCAACAACACCAACATCAACAGCCTATAAGTGGCTACTGCTGACCAAAGGCCTCCTCTCACACGGAAAAGGTTTGAAAATCAATCGCCACGCTTTCTCAATGCGGGTTGGCAATTCCAAACTTATAATTAGGAATTATAAAGCTTAGGTTTCCTCAGACGTTTGCCTTCACCATTTGATAGTGTTTGTTAATAGTGTCTAAATAATCATAGAAAGTACATATAACTCGGAAAAAGTCACATTGGTACTTGCTGTTGGCAAGTTAAGCACCCTCATGCATAATAAGCGGGCGTCTTAAACCATTTGGCTACCACAACTTTTATAGAGTTGATTCCTTCTATTTATTATTTTTATAATTAAAGGATAGTTTGACATACTATCTTAAACGTTTACACAGTCTTTCGAGATTTTAGAGTTCAATAATTAATTAATAAAGTTTATAGGTTTATTAGTCATACTACTTTTGCATAGCCTTTTGTTTTCCCACTTTAAGCACTTTACTCTCGAGCCTATCATTCATAGTTCTTTGAAGATTAATTACATTTTAATTAGGTTTCAATATGCATAAAGACGGCGGCGGTATCGCTACGATTATTTAGTTTGTTGCGAGCTTCAAGATGGTCTAAGAAAATTGATTATATTTATTAAACTTATTTTGTTTCTAACATAATAATTAAGTTTGAAGATTGGTTTAAAACAAATCTTTTTAGTTATCGTTACCTTCCAAAAAATGTTCCGAACGCAAGTTGAAATAGTTATGCAACATTTTGGTAACATTCGAAAAACAGTCTATTTTAAAACAAATTAAATGCAGAGAAGCTCTTCAAACCACAGGATCTGCGAACAAAGCGAAGAAAATTCCTTCCAATCTGTCAAATCAACAAAAAATAAACTTCCAACGAAGGTGCGTACAAAACGCTTGCTCCAAACTTGTTGAGACGGCAGAAACACCTAGGTATTTGTCTAATACTCGGGGAGGGTCCCTTTATCGGCCCACATCAGTCCGTACATGATAATAAAGGGGTTCGCCCGTGGCGTCCCCTGCCGGCCAACATTTTATTCAATGAACCTTCAATATATCTCGTCTTCTGTGGGCCGTATTTCTACTAAAATATTTATTGTTCGCAGTCCGGCTGACTGATTCAATTCACTTTGGGATAGGTGGTTGTTATCAAAGATACAAATGCGTGTAAATCAAATAGATACATCTGGTGAAATAAGTCGCGTATTGTTTGTTTGAAAGCGAATATTTTTGTTTTTATGTGTACTTATATCAAAAGGTGATATTTTATGTAGATATTATTTGGTTGTTATGAATGTCTCAATAAGGGTGGGTTCTTTCGTAGTGTGGAAGTTCAATTGTTAGATTAATTACTTTAGAAAGTAAATTATATGATATTCCAAAGACAAATAAAATCATTGATTATTATGTTTTCGGGTTACTAACGTAAGTGTTTGATGAGATACTCGACTAGATTCAAGTCATGCTAGAGGGTCATATTCATGAGCAGCATTCCCCGATACACTGGCTGTGCTGCTACTGGTAAGTCAAAAACATAATAATTAATTTAGTTTAAGTCACAAAAGTTAAAATGTAAACAAAATAAAATCATTTGTATTGTAACTTTCGAGAGACATACTAAATAAATTATTATGTTTTCGGCTTACTCACGTAATTTGACGAGGAACTCGACTAGTTTCAAGCCATGCTAGAGGCTCATATTCATGAGCAGCGTTTCGCAACCCGTGTCGCGGCGACTGTCGCGCTGCTACGAGTTCCTCGTCAAATTACTACGTGAGTAAGCCGATAACATAATAATTTAAAATAAAATCATTTTTAAAATGACACAGGTACTTTTAGACGTGCATTATTTTTACTTTATATTGATCTTTTATTTATCATTGCACCTATTTGTAACCATAAAATACATGAAAGTTCTCTTTAACCACAATTTTCCAATAAATGCCACGTAAACCTGTCTCAACTGTCTTAGCCAATAATATATTCATTCTAAATATGGAAGGCAAGCGCGCCATTTGTCTAACCCCTGTTGTCTTCAGATAAAACGTGAACCGGTTCACCTTCGTTCCCATCTATTCTGTTAAACTGTATTTCGTTCGATTTGTAACTAAGTACCTGTCGTTCACTGACATCAATATTAATGACCTTTGTTTACGAAGGGAAGGAGATAATAAGATAGATAGCATAACATATTTTTTCTTTTAGCATAACATATTTAAATCCCCATAGGTGTGAATTATTATATTATATTGTGAATTACAGAAGATGAATTTGTAAATTTGGTTAAGTAGTCAACCGTCTTAGTGGGCTGAACCACGGCTGAACTACAAGAATTCATGTCAAAAAATGAAATAATTCTGTTGTGACGTATGTTAGTCTGAATTTGTACTACATGTTCGGACTTCATGTTATTATTACCGCGAAATTTTAACAACGGGAAACTGTCTGGGAAACTGTCTCGTTGTTGAATTAAACCCCGGTGGGTTTAATTCAACAACGAGACAGTCAAATGAATAACATAAAAATATACTCAATAAAAATTGAAAAATAATTGAAACTTCGTAGCTGTTGTGAAAACAGTACAATTGTGATTGCCACTATTATATTGGATACGGGCTCTACGCTGCTGTGTAAACAACAAATCAATTATGCGACAGGCAACTAGAATGGATGAAAATAACAATACTGTTGGTTGATAACAAAACATATACCCATAGTTTTTATTTCATCGTACTGGCAAGTAGAGATACGCAGATGAGAGTTTAATAATGCCTTTCTCTGTATGACTTATTTTTTTTTTGTAGAATGCAGTTTTTTAAGTAGGCGTTGTTGCCTAAATAGAATTACTCGTCATACCCTAAGTAATTTTTTTTTTGTGCTTTGAATGTGAGAATTTGGATCATTTAGAACTAGCTATTGCCCGCAACTTCGTCCACGTTGAATATGCTTTATCCCATGGGAGAATTTAATCGGGATAATAAGTAAGTATCCTATCACCTAAGTCACCCCATACCCTGCCTGTATACTAAATTTCATCAAAATCCGTTCAGTAGTGTTAGCGTGATTGACGGACAAACATCCAAACAAAGAAACTTTTACATTTATAATATTAGTGTGAGTAGATATTGTTCGTAAAATCCGTTTGTATAAATCGGCTCAGAAAATCCTTGTGCTCACTTGTCGCATTTTCGGTAAGAATTTTCCTTAAGAATTGACTGAAGGATCTGTAGTGTTGTACAAAATGCTTATTATTCATAAGTATGGTTATCCTGATCGTTGGCAAGTCATCCATCAAGTAGTTTTAACAACGTACGAGACGGGGATAAATGAGGTCAGTTGACCTAAACGTTGTCTTGCCGTTTAGATGCTGACAATACTAGAGAATCTTGCATCTCTCGAGACTAGTGATGTGTCATGTCATCATGGTGTGATGGATTTGTCATTGGATTTGTTTTCCATTGGAACTCTGAATATCTTTATGTTTGTATTTTATTTTTTTGTAAAAGGAAAGTGTGTATGAATTTAGGTATATCAATAATTATAATAATGTTACATTGTATTACATTTACTTTTCTCTTATGATGGATTTTTTTTAGGGGTTGCAACAAAAAATGAACTATCTGCACACAGACAACACAGAGTGAACGTGCACTCGGATATGTTTAGATGGTCACAAATTAAACTGATTCCGAGAGACACGACATCACTCGATGACATATTTTAAAAACCAATAAATGAATGTTCATTTCTTTTTCATTCCACTAAAGTTGTCTGAACATGGAATGAACGATAAATAAAACATTCACTGGGGTGAATATTCACTCGAGTGAATCATCTGATATCACCTTAATTGTTAAATTAATTTATTTCAGAAAAACAAACTGCATCGCATCCAAGACGCAACGTGAATATCCTTAAACAATATCTAACGTAAATAAAACAAGCTTCAGACGGTACAAGCACCTTAAGCTCCGCCACAGCTGTTACTCGAACTAATTAACTTCTGCTAAGCTAAATACTTGAGACTGCCACGTAATTATTTCTCAGGATAGTCTCTTACTCTTTAA